AAGAAAGAAAGATAATGCAAAGCACTAGTCTATTGGTGTCCTTCCAGTCTGTTGTTCTGCAACTGCCATCATCCTGAGACTTTGTGCTTGATAGGAGTTGTATTCCAAAACCTATGGAGAATATCAGGCTTGGGAAGCTGAACTGCAATATCTCCAAACTGCTAACCTACGATGATTAAGCTGCAAGCTTGCTCATTTACTTCTGAGTAAATGCTATTGAATGGCTTGGTTTGCATGATCAATTTGAGCTGCTATGGCTTAAATTGTCCTCCAGGTATTTTTGGATTTAAGCTTTAATCACCCTTATCTGCCAGGTTAGATATGCTGGGTTTGTATTCCAAAACATCTGGCAGGCATCCTATAGAACAGGGGTCTCAAACTCGCAGCCCGCGGGCCAATTGCTGGGACGGGTGGGGCACGGGGGAGGGGCCCTGCGGCCTTCAAAGCGCCGGCAGCGCTCGGGCTGGCCGCGGGATGAGCGGCCCACCACCAGCGCGGGGGTGGAATCCTTGATGCGGCCCAGCCTCACCCAGACTCTACTTCCAGCGGCCCCCAGGTAAGTTGAGTTTGAGACCCCTGCTATAGAAGAAGCCTGAGCTAGACCAAACACTTCCTTCAAAGCAGCCTTCTCCTAAGCAGTTCTCCCCAGATGTTTTGGATTTCAACTCCCATCAGCCCATCCAGCATGGCTAATGGTCAGGAATTCTGGATTCACTTCTCCAGGATTACTGTAGATACGCAGCTGAGGCTGCAGTCCTACATCCTGTACCATGGATGCTTGGAAGCTTACATGCACCCTATGCTGAGTATGAGGCTCAGTTGTGGTGACCTCTGGCAATGGGTGTTTCTGCTAGATAATTGTTGGCCATTGCATGCCAGGGAGGTGGGGCAATGGGGGCCAAGATGCTGACTGGAATCAATGTAATCTGGCACCCCAGCCTCCCCCACGTTCTTGACTTGCCATTTAAGACTCAGTTGCAATGGGGGGCAGGGGCACAGTGAGCACCGTTTTTTCCACACTGGCTGCAAGAGAGTCAGGGCAAGCATTCAGCCTGCAGAGTTCCTTGAGCAGTGCCCTGGAGATCACACGTCATTAATTAATTCATCATCAGTGAAAAAGCAGTTTCTGCCACCAGATTTTGGCAGGAAATCACTGCTTTCCCCCTGCGCCTAACAAGTGCTAATGAAGTTTGTCCTAAGAAGAGTAAAGGGTATGTCTTTTGTTAAACTAATAAGTGGCAAGTATCCAGCTTCCAGTGTCTTTTATTCCTGTGTAATAAGGATCTAACTTTCATCAAAGAAGAAGTGACTGTAGCCATGCTTCATGGGGGATGGTGCTAATATGAAGAGACACGTGATCAAGGTTGGCTTGTGGAAAGGGCTGAAGTGGCATAGGGCTGTGGAGCATCCGGATTCCCAAAGCCACCTCCTTCATGCGCTATGGACTATCCGTGGCTTGCTGGCTTTGCCGATTACATCAAAGATTGTTAGCTGATGTCCTTTCTGGACAGACTGCTGAGTGGCTTCCCTGTGCTGGGCCCTGCTGCCTGCCAAAGAGCTTTCATCAAAGCTCTCTCAATCATGATACAGAAAAATATGGCGTCTCTCATCCAGAGGTAATACAGTAAAATATAATACCGAGTTAAAATAGGTAAGGAGGGATCAGCACATTCCCAGGGCCATATTGATTATAAGGAGGCAGATATTTTCATCCACACTGATTCAGTCAAGTTGCTTCAAATTTGTTTGAATTGATTGCATTCATTCTCTGTGCTTTCAATAGAGGTTTTATATATGGAGAACTGTGTTGTATGGATTCTATATGCCTGCTACAGTCCTGCTACTGCACACAGTAAATATGCACCCATGCATGTTTATGATCTGGGCAAGAGTAGGATGGCAGAGGCTGCTAACAAGCTTTTCTGCTGGTGCTCAGTGGAGAGGCTGAGCCCCAAGCAAGACAGACTCTGGAAGGGCTCTCATCTCAAAGCACAGAAGTGCTTTCAGCACTCTGAAATCTGAGCCAACACCTCCTTTCTTTTCTGGCTTCCAGTGAGACTACAGCAGAGGATTCTGAGGTCAGCAGACCAAACGAGAGACCCACATCAAGCAGGAGCACTTGGAAGAGTAGGGCAGCTGAAGAGACTGTCAAGCTGGGACTTCTTGCTGGATGAAGAACAGGAGCACAGAGCTGATGGCAAAATCCTGTTTTTCCCCCCTGCTGCCTTCCCCTACTGAAGCCAACTGTTCAAAAACAGCAGAGCAACTATACAGAATCCCACATGTTAGTTTCCCACAACCTAGTGCTTGCCCAGTGTTTTGGTCATCAACTCCCATCAGCTGTAGGCAGTATAGCCAGTGGTGAGGGATGCTAGGCATTGTAGACCAGATCTTCTTGATGGTAACACTTTTCCCAGCTGCTCTGGCATCTTCAGGTATGTCTGTCTGTTTAGTCACAAAGTCATGCCCGACCCATCACGAACCCATGGGCAACATTCCTCCAGGCTCTCCTGTCCTCCACCATCCCTCGGAGCCCACCCAAGCCCACACCCACTGCCCCAGTGACCCCATCCAGCCACCTCATCCTCTGCCACCCCCTTCTCCTTTTGCATCAGTCGTTCCCAGCATCAGGGTCTTCTCCAGTGAGCTGTTCCTTCTCATTAGGTGGCCAAGGCATTTGAGTTTCATCTTCAGGAATACATCATGCAAAATGGGGCAGCAGGATGGGGGGGGTGGGGTGGGGTGGGGTGGGGGGCACCTACTGCCTTTGAGTGCTGTAGGAGAAATACAAGCTTTCCAATCTACCATGCAATGCTTCACCTGGCAGCAACATGGTGGAGCACCTCAATTTGCCTTCTGGCTCTGCCCCAAGCAGTTGGGTTCACGGTGAGATTAGATTTTAATAACGAAAAGGGCACGGCCTGTGGGCTGTGCCAAGTCCCTCACCCCCTTACACTGTGGCAAACAACTGCCATCTTTCCCCAGGGCTTTCCTCCCCCCTTCCAAGAATGATGAGAAAAGCATGGCAGGGAGCCCAGAGGAGGGTAACAGTGGAGGAAAAGACGTTTAAGCACCTCCCCCTATCCATGGATGCTTTCCTCTCATATCCTGGGCCACAGGTCCTGCCTTCACACACATGCACACACACACACATGTACACATGCACAGCCCTTGGCTTTTTTCCTACCAGGTTGTGCTATATCCTGTTTTAAACGCATGGATTCTTCACATTCCAATTTGGATGTGGCTGATGCCACACCACCTCACAATGTGCATTGCAAGCCTGCGGCTTTGCTCTCTCCTTTGAAATATAAGCACTCTGAACCTCCATGTCACAAACTGGTATACACTTTTTCCTTCTTATGTTCTTATCTGTCTCTTGTGCATTGCACAGCAAACTTGGCCTACATTAATATACACAAACACATTCACACTCTCTCTCCCTGGCCAGACTAATCAGATTTACATCTGAGCACACATGGGAGACCTTCAAGAAAACACAGCTGACAGTGGCTGATATAAGAGTTCAAAAACTGTAAGCAGCTACAGTGGCTACGAAATCCAAGCAAACAGGATGTGAATGTTTCTGAGGTTGGGGGCAGTGACAAGAGCCCAGCTAAGAGTTAGCAGAAATAGGACTTGGGAGTGATTGCTCATCAACTCTGGGCTTTTCACCATGCAAGTATCACCATGCAAGCATGGATGGGACATGGCTAGCTAGTTTCTTGCACTCTCCATTCCCCCTAGCTCTTCTGAAAGTGGGATGTCTCCCTCCTTGCTCCAGGGACATGGTGGAGGCATGACATTCACTTTTCCCCGGCAGATAACCCTGGCTTGGTATCCACCTCTTTCACTTGCTCCCACAGCCTATTATGTGGTGAATCTAGAGGGGTGTGTTGATCAACCTTCTGTTCATTTGTCCCTGGCTTCAAAATGACTTCCTGGTTTTGGGTGGAAGGATGTATTTAAATGGTGTGCCAAATGGATGATGGGTGTGATAGATCAGATGAGCCCCCTGCATTTGCTGCAGACCAGTTTGCCCTAAAATGGAAACCTGCCTTGCATTCATGCATAAAAGGAACTCCAGAATGTGTTCCACATGGCAGAAGCAATACCACTTGTGTCAAGGTTTCAATGAAGATATTGCTTTTCTATCTTCTATATTTCTTCAAGGAAGTATTCATCATTTTATTTCCTGTCCAAAACTATTAACTAACACTGCTGGAAGGTATATGCGATGTTTTCTATCCTAGATTGCATAGAGAAGAGTCATTTTGAAACTATCTGAGTTTGATCGACCCAAACTGATGGTGTTGTATCGTGGTTGGTTCAAATCTCTGTCTGCATTTGGAAAACACAAGGAGCTGAACTTAACAGGGAAGATTTAACTAGCATTTAAAATATTTTTGAGGAATCTGAGTTTAGCAGCTAATAAATCAATTTTCTACAACTCTGGGAAGAATTGAATCAAAGGAGTTGGCTGCCAATTGAAAATGTGTGGTTGCTATCACTAGAGTTTTGTTAGGGTACAGATGTACACATGTTTAATTTCCATATAATCAGGAGACTTGTGGAGGACAAAATCACTCTTACCACAAAGGAATTAGATAAAGTTACTTTTTTTACTATTAGCATATTCCTGCTGAAATAATTGTACCGCCTGCTTCTGTCCTGACGCAAACACTACCTTGCTGGGTGGGTGTATCAAACAGCCAAGAGGAATATGTCCCTAGCTGCACCCCAGCTTTCCTCCCTCCCTCCCTTGCAAACCAGGGTAAATTGAGGCACACACGAAAGGCAGGGGAGACAGGAGGCCAAACTGATGTGACCTTTAGTTTTTTAATTGTATACAGCACAATTGTAGAGTTGCAGGGCTGCAGAGAAAAGCAATGCATTGGATAAAAATAACATGGATCAAGATAAGAACCAAGGTGGTCAGTGGAAAACAGCTGGAATCAGGTAGAGAAGGGGTGATGGAGATTTCAGACTGCTTGAAGTCTTTACGATTCGGTCACCATGGCTATGAATTCTGGAAGAGAGACAGAGGTGAGGAGGAAAGTCACTGAGAGGATAGTATTGCATCACGTGAGGGCTGTGGCTACAGGGACCATGCCTCAGCAAGGCCCTGGATACACAATTCAGCTCACTCATTCACCAGAGTCAGTAGCACAGTAAGGCGGCATGAAGACAATCCAGGATTGTCATCTCCAAGGTGTCTATTTTAAACTGACACGAGTCAGAGGTGGCTAGTCTACAGTAAGAACCCTCTGTGCATCACTGCTGTCATTCCCAGATGGTTGGATTTTATTATGCAGCTTTAAGCCCCAGATGCCCACAAGACATTTGTGCTGCTCCGAACTGGCTCTTTCCAAACAACTGCATTGTTGCACAGTGTGCACCAGACACCTGAAAACCTGACTGGGGCACCCTGAGGGGGATCTCTCAGAAGGTATGCCCCATGTACTCTCTAGGGGTCCCTCCCCTCTCTCCCCAGACATTCCACTCCTCCTCCTCCTCCTCCTCCTCATCATCATCATCATGGGAGGTTTGTTAATCTATAACAATGGAGGTGTATTTCTTTATCAATGCCACAGTAGTAAGAGCATGAAATTGAAATCTGGCGTGGACTCCAAGGGTGATCGCATTGGAGTTACATTGTTTTTGACTTGCATTTGTTAATTTTAATTACATTAAATTAAAAGTGCTCATGTGTTTGAAACCTGGGGGAAGATTTCCCTAACTAGCACATAATTTTGCAGTTAATGCAGTTTGATTAGTAACACAGTTACACATCTGCCCCTGGCTGTGGGGCAGCTTGCCCCCCCCAGGGAATTTAATGCATAGACCCCCCCCCCAAGAGCAAATGGGTGCACCATGACCAGGCACTTCCTGGGAGTGCCAGCAGGTAAACTGTTGTGAGCTGGTCTTCTTCCCCTCTTCCAAGCAGATCAGGACCAAAGGCTTTCTATCTACAGTCTATATTATGTTAAAGCTGATTGGCCAGGCTGGTTTTGTGATACAAATGAAGAGTGTAGCAGAGGTCAATAACAAAAGTCACAAGCAAAGTTAGACTACTGCACATTAGGGAAATGCAGCTTAATGATGCAAAGCTGATTTCAAACTGAATCTGTAAAGCAATGAGGGGCAGCAGGGGATGCAACCAACCTGTGGGCCCCTGGTTGCCCCCTCCCCATTCTGTCATGCATTTAGCTGGGACTGGGAGCCACCGTTAATTTCCCAGAATGCCCCCAATGTAGCACTGTTCTGAGACACTGCAGGAAATGAAAATTGTGGCTCAGAGCCAGCATGGATAACCGTGCTACTCCTGCTGCCTGTCACTTATGGACTGCTGTGGCCAGATAAGTCTGCCAGGGCTCAGTGGTATAAATGCCAGACCCACAGAGGGCATTTTGCTGAGGGTCCTCGCAAATTTCAGGCTGTCCCTGCCTCTTCCGTAACACCTCTGCTTTCATCCGAGTCCCATTACTCAAGATAAGTGTTTCTTCACCATCAGATAATCAAGGTCCACTTTTGCTCTAGAGGATGAAAAGTGAGAGCTGTGTTTCTGCACGCATTAGGATTCTGACTGCACCTCTGGTTGGAAAGATGCATTCCCAGAGTAACAACTCATGCAGAGATGCAAAGGGCACCCTCCTCCAAGGATGTGGAATTTAACTGCATTAGTGGAGCATGTTCTGATGACATCTAATGCAGCAATGAAGCAGAATGTCCTGCCTCCAATCAGTGGTTGATTGGAAGGGGAAGCTGAAATGGAGCAAGCATTTTCTTCTGAGGTTGGAGGGTTGGGCTAACAGCAGATTGTGATTTCATCATTAAATGTATGCATTTCTTCTCTGGCATGCCAACACGTCCCATCATGCATTTTAGGGATCGCCCCATTTGAATCCCTGCTTCTTCTTGGCACACACTGTTTCAAGTTGACCTCCTACTGCCAAATCTGATCTCTCCAGGGAAGGGTACCCACCATCAACCCCGAGTTTGCCATCTTGATCTTTATCTCCAGCAGCCATCATTCTATTAGTTTCTGCATCAGTCAGGAGCCTGCCTTCTGGGGAAAAGATCCTCATCATGAAACTATGAACAAGAAACAGTAATCAGGCGAAAAGACTACAAATAATATGCTGTGAAGAAGAAAAAGAGGCAAAGGAGAAAGTGGGGAAGCTGATATAGATGGTCTTCCATTTACCCAGTTTTTAAAATATGCCTCTGTGGGATTGGGAGGTATTATGTAATATTGAAATGTATGCCTTGCTTTTCCTTCAAAAGGAGCTTTCAAGTGTCCTACAACAGAGAATTAAAACACCATCCAATCTAATACGGCTCCCTTTGAAACAGACTTCTGCTGACACTGCAAACATATGGTCATTCATGGGACATTTTACCACCCCTGGTTACATTAGAAAACGTTGGGATCATGTTACAGCTGTCCTGAAACACCTATACCAGTTGCCAGTTGCTTTCTAGGAGCAAGTCAGGGTATTGGTTTTAAACTTTACAGGACTAGCTAACCCAGGAACTACTTGTCTTGCTTTGAACTGGTTCAGGTTAATCGGATCTGTGGAGGAAGCTCTTTTGAGGACCCAACTGGCCACATAAACACATTTTCTGGGCACACCTGAAAGGCTTTGTCTTGTATTGATCCCGGCTAAAGAAGGTGCTGCCTTAGAATCTACGGCTGGCCTCTAGAAAGGGCTCAGTGATACATTTTTTCAAGCTAGAAAAGATATATTTTAAGGTTTTACTGTATTTACAATTTCAATGTTCCTGTTTTTATTGTTTTAGATTTTCTATTTTTAAATAACTGCACAGTGTCTTAATGGCTTCTTTTAACTGCTAAGGTGATAAATACATGCTAATAAATAAATAGTCTTTGCTTACCTTAGTTCATTCTTCTCAATAAAGCCAGTCTGATTTCTGTCCAGGAGGTGGAAAATATCCTTCAGTTTTTCAATGTTCTGGTTTTTCAAGCCCGCCAGCACAAAGAACTGAGCATGGTTAAAAGAGTCTGGTGCTACAGGAATGGAAGAATTAAAGAACATACCTCTGTTTAGCAGACTTCTCCCTTTGCAGATGGTACAAACAAGCCAGTGGTCAGGCATGATAGGATCTAAAGCATCCTTCGGGCACCAAGTTACCTACTTCTGATACAGAGATTGGGGCAGCCTTCCTGGACTGAGTCTCCTTCAGATTTTTGGGACTACTTCTTGCAGAATTCATGGCCATCAGCCATGCTGCTTTGGGATAATGGGCAATGAAGTGCAAAACATCTGGACTGCACCAGTTTGAGGAGGTTGGACTGCATGCTTTGGTTTTCAGTCTAGTCCACAACTAATGCATCACCAAAAGGGTAGCTATAGGGATGATAGATCCGAGTGGAAGATAGTGTCTCTTTCCTAAGTTGGTACCCTTGCGTTGAATTGAATGGACTACAAAATTCCACCATCCCATCCAGTGTGGGGATGACAGGCTGAGAAAGGATGCTCCCGGGTGTCCAGGTGAAACTGAGGGCAGGGCGACTGCACTTGCAATAGTTGCACGGAAGAGGGGAATTCAGCCTCTGTAGCTTGGCATGGTGGTGCAAACTACAGATGATGGATGAAGTCCCTCTTCCGCATAAATAGTGAAGGTGTGGGAGCTGGATGCACCCCCCTTTGCAGCTGGCAGCCTCTCATCAAAGCAGGGGGATGGTTGGATCCTGGAGCTGGGTACCTTTGGAGAAGGGAATGAGTTCCTCGAGCCCTTGATTAACCTCATGCTGCCCAGACAGATGAATATGTGGCAACCCCTGGCTGGTGTTGCCTGCACAAAAGAAACGGGGGAGCCTTCAGGGGAAAGTTGGATTGTTGGTGCCCCCAAACTTGCTCCTGTAATCCTGTAGTTATTTCAAACACATTGATTTCTAAAGGCAGGCATGCAAACCAATTTCTGCATCCCGAAAAGCACAAAAAAGACAAACTACTACAGTAAGGATAATAATGTAAGACTGAGACAAGGAAAACGAGCCCTTGGAAATACTGAGAAGACAGGAAAACATTGCTGGGAATGGGGAGGTTGGCTATTGCTGAAGACCGACTGTTGAAGGACACACTGCCAGCAGAAGCGCCGAAGTGCAGGGCTCCCTGTGCCCTTCCCAGGGCTCCTCAGATGTGCGACTTCTCCACTCCCTGCGGTGCAGAGTTTGCCTGCAGTGGATCTCCTGGATCTCGGCGCTCAAAACTTAATGACGCTCTTCATGCCCCGTCCTAGGAGCGGTCCAAGGACTTTCTGCCCGGCTCAGCTTGCTTTGCGCTCCCAGCCCCTCCATCCTCCTTCCCGCTTCCCCGTGGCGCCTCTCCTTGTTCAGAATGACCTCTAAGAGAGGATCTCTCCCGCAACTCCCCTCTGTCCCTCCTCCATCCCGTGCAAAGGCTCTGCCGCATCTCACCTGCGAAGGTTGCCATCACCTTCTTGATATCGGCCGGGCTGAGCAGGGAAGCCATCCTTGCAACTGTGGGAAGAGAGGCGAGAGTGAGGCAAGTGCCCAAAAGATTTGGGAGGACGGAAGAGGGAGGGGGAAGAGCGCCCTTCTCCTCCTATTCCTGCTCATATGACCAAAGCTGCAGTGCCGGCGGGGATGGTCCACCGGCAGAGCGGTTGGAGCCGCAGCCGCCGCCAGCAGGAGCAGCGCAAAGCGCCGCAAGGCGCGCTACGTGCGAACAGTCGCTCTGCCCGGCGCGCACCAGCCTGACTGCAAACGCGAGGACCGGCGAAGTGCCGGATCCGTGGCTCTGCTGGCTGCTTCGACTGTGTCAAGCGATGCTTGGCTCCTTTGGGGAGATTCTGCACTGGGAACGGCGAGGAAGCGGTAGAGGCGGGAAGGCGCCGGGTCATCCCAAGGAGAAGCTCTGGGGCCACTGCAGTGGGGAAAAATGTGCGCGCGCGTGTGCGGAGGGGTGACCCCCCGAAGGAAGGATCAGGAGCTTCTTGGTTAAGCCTTTCTTATGCTTCACCCCAGCCAGCCTTCCCCTGAGGAGCTCTGTGCAGTGGTTCTGCCTTTCTTTCTTCCCATTTCGTCCTCACAACAACCCTGTGGGGAAGGTTCCACACAGAAGTCATTGCTGGCTCAGCATAACCCAATGTAGGGGTTCAGACCCAGGTCCCTTTGGTTGAAGTCCCACACTCTAATATCATTTGCTACGTCTGTGGAGGGGGGAATTTCTGCAGGTATGGCTTTTCTCATTCTTGAGTGCAAAATCCCACCTCCCAGAAGCCCACTTTTTCTGCATAATTTGGTAAAGTAGGTGGTGGAGGACATACTCCTTTGTGTCTGTCCACCTTTAGTGTTGACCCTGATCTAAACCAGTCATGCTGCTTAAGATGGAAGGAAGCAGGAAAGGAGGAAAGTCCACAGAACTATCACTGGTGCCCTTTATGACTGCCAACTTCCTGAGATATTGTGGTTGATGGGATCTGTAGACAGTTGGAGCACATCAGTCTGGGAAAAACTGTACCACAGTTTCTCCATCCAAGCTGCTAACCTGGTGTTAATGAAGCTGCAGTCCTATGATTATTTACTTCAGGAGAAACTCTATTGAAAGCCTGGGTTCACATGATCAGTTTGAGCCATGGTAGTCTAAATTGCCATCTAGATGTTTTGTATTTCAACTGCTACTGGCCACAGTTGTCCTGATCAGAAATGTTTCGAGATGCAGCCAAGGGAATATTATGTTCAAGAAGGCTCATGTATTCCAAATTATTCCTTCAAGAGTGCCTTTTCCACACCAGTCCTCCCCAGATGTTTTGGATTTCAACTCCCATCAACCCCAACTCCAGGCAACATGTCTAATGGTCAGGAATTTTAACTAGGAATTACTTAGCTTGGATTTGCATAAATCTAACAGCATACATTTAGATAGGCCACAAACAGATGCAACTGCTTCTAAACTCCAGAAAGAAGCACATAATCTACAAGAGCAATAAGATCAGTCAGGTGATTCTTACCTTTAAAAACAGTGATGATACAACAACTGTTTAAAAACTGTTGCTCATATGACCATGAAATTTCTGGGAAAGACCAAAAAAAACCAGGACTATCCCTTCATACTAGGTGCTTGTGCCACATAGAACAGCCTCAGATCGATAAACAAGAATGCCTTCCCAAATTAAGCTGCAAAAGTATGCCTCTTCTTTTTAAAAAAGCTCAAAAGATTTCACAAATGTAAAAAGTTCAAATTAAAACTGTTTTATTAAAAAAACAACTTTAACTTTAACTGTTAAAATGTGAGGCACCAGTTTCAGTGCCAGATATGAGTATGTTACAGTCCCAGGACCAATCAAGAACAAGGCCAAGCCTCAGCATGGGTTAACCATCAGCACCTGTATTCTACAGTTGTTCAGGCTTGTGTGAATAAACACCATAGCTTGTTTCACCACATCTTTTACATTGATATCAGACTTCAGCTGATCAGTAAACAATGCTTCCCTGTACTTTCTCTTTTGGAGGCTTTGTTCGCTGCTACCACAGCCGCTCTTCCTGCATGTTTCTCCTTCATTTGCAAGAACTAGCAAATATTGCATTATGTTGCAGATCAGCCAAATGCTCCTTGTGCCTTTTTAGGAGAGGTCTTCCCATGTCACGGATGTAAAAGGAATCATGTTCCAAACAGTTAATTTGTGTACCAGCAGCTGTGACGCACTTTTGCCTGCCACACAGTCAGGACATCCCTATGTCCAGCACCAATTTAATCACACAGGTTTATTTCACTAGAATGAAAATATATCCAGAAATGTTGCAAGCAGCACTATAATATGTTGTATATTATCAGCATGTATGATATCTATATGCATGAGCCGTATATATATGACCCTTGATGGGTCAAATGGGCTAGCTCGCACAGCCCTCCTCAAGTGATTTATCTCTATGATCCATCCCTTTGGAGTGATAACTAATCTCACCTTGGTTCTGCATCCCGCACCCCTCCTGAGGATACCAGGCTAGCTCAGGGAGCGCTGGGAGGCTGCACAGAACCCACAGATCTGTGCCCACGACTGCCCACCTGAGGTCGCCGCCTCACTTTCCTCAGTGCTAGGGCTGGCCTGCTATCCTTCTTTAACTATTTCTAATTCCCCATTTTAAAATTCATCCAAGTCAAATTTGCCAGAAACAAATGAAAGGTTCTGCAAGGTAATTAAGTACTGTGTGAAGAAGTGCTTCCCTGGTTTGAATCTATTGTGTCTCAGTTTAATTGGTTGGCAGAATTCTCATATAACAGATTAACAAAAATGTGTATTGCTCCAATTTCTCCTCAGGAATCATATTTTTTTAAAAAATTGGATTATGCCTCTCCCTTGTTTGTTTTCTCAAGTAAAGATGTCCAGGTGCTTAGTTTTTCCTAGTAAGGAAGATGCAGAATGGGGCACCAAACCCTTGATCATTATGGTTGTTCTTTTTTACACCTTTGCCAACTTTAAAGGTACAATCCTATGACTGTTTAGACTAAAAAAAAAAAAGAAGAAGAAATGAAAAGGAAAATAGCCTACAACTCCTGACTTGTCCCAGGCCGTATGGCTGGCTGCAACATGCTGGGTGTTCTAGGCCATTTTTCTGTCCAAACATGTATACAATTGCACCTTTACATGTCCCTTTGGCATTTGGTAGCCAGAAGTCCACACAATATTCCAAATGTTGGTGCCCCCTGAATTTTGATAAAGGCATGCTTATACTCATCTTTAGATTTTCAATCTCTTCCTGATAATCCCATGGAATTCTCAGCTGACACTTTCATTGGAATATCCATTGTAACCCCACTATTTCATTCTATATAGTTGTGTTTCTGAAGAAAGGACATACATACTTGCTTTGGTTTTCATATTTTATATTGTTATTTTTTATATTTTAACTCAATGTTTGCACCTTACAAACATTTTAACTTAATGTTATAACTTAATGTTTGTATTTTAATTTAATGTTGTGAGCCGCCCCGAGGCTTCAGCGAATGGGGCGGCATAAAAATGTTTTAATAAATAAATAAATAAATAAATAAAATATTTACTCAGCCTTGTTTGCTGTTTTGTTGCCTGTTTGCTCAGTCTGACACTCTTTCCTGTCTACCGAGTTTTCTCTGTCCTATCATCTGCAAACTTTCCTACCACATTGCTCACCTTGTCCCCTTCATTTATGAATGGATAGTGCTAGCACTGGTGTCCCGGAGCACTGAGGAACTGCACAGCTTAGTCTTATCTGCCCCTTCCTGTTTAGTTATCTAATATTTATTAAAAATAATGCTTTGTTTTGTAAATTTCTGTGGACTTCCATTCTGCCGCACATTGGGAAAGAATACTGCTTTCTGTTTAAAAGGGTGGATTTGGTTGCTCTGAATTTACTCTATATTATTGGACTTTTTTCTGACATGCACTAAATTTGGGGCTTTTCTACCTAGCTTTTTCTACCCCAGGGCAGTTTTAGAATCCTCATGTTTGGACCCTCTCTCCAAAAGAACTATAATAATGCACAAGGTCTTTGAAAAATGGAATAATAAATCAGAATGCCATATTTCAAATAACCAATGGAATGCCCCATTAGCATCTGTTTCAAAAGTGTCAATGGACCTTGGATTATGTATTATCCAGCAAATGTATTTTCCATGTATATTAGATGCCACAAAATTTCTTGGATGAAAAGCTGACTAAATCAAGTAACTGTTGGGAATATGATACAGTGAATCTGTATACCCTTTATTTTGTCTTTTATTAATCTTTTCCCACTGTCTTCTCATGTGCTTTGATTTGAAAGACCATGGGTTCTTAAAAAACAAATAAATAAGACTGTCGACCAAAGACAGCACTGTCCTGTACACTTTAAAGAAAGGAAAACTCAGAATGTATGCAAAACATACATCTATGGCTCAAAGAAGCAGCACACCAAAATATCTATAGGAAGACAATGACCAAAGCAAGGACTGGGAAGAGAGGAAGGGAGACATGCAAGAAAGATTACAAGCAACATCACCAGGAGCCTGACAAACACACAGCCAAAGATGAGGTAAAAATAAGGAGGAGAAATAATTCAAAGAGGAGAAATAGACATATATCTTTAAAGCTGAAAGTCAGAAGAAGCTGATGAAGCACGGAAAGCACGACAAAATGTGGGCAAAGTAGGAAGAACAAAAGAGAAAGCACATGGCAGCAAGCTGACTGCTGTTTCGATTCCCACTGCCCCTGTTACAAGATCGCCTTCCAAGACCCCATTGAGGAGCTGACAGAACACGCCCAGGGCCATATTAATCTCGGGGAGGCTGATCTTTCCATCCACACTGATTCACCCAAGGTGCTTTATTCTGTATGTGAATTTGTTGGGCTCATTTCCTGTGCTTTCCAAAGACTTTCTGTACACAGAGAGGTGCACTATATGGATTGTAGATGTCCAATGCAGCTGGGTTTTTTCTTTTTAAACCAAGAATGCCAAGGCCATCATTTTGGTTTGGAGGCTTCCAGCATTAGTATAGCAACACCTACACTTTGTGTCCCTCTCCGACTGTTGTTTCTTTTTGGAATGCTGTCCTGTCATAATGCTGTGTTGTTATTGTTCTGCCATTTATTATTTTATTATCTTAAACAATTTGAATTGTGTAAGGCACCTTGAATGCCATTTTTGGAGGAAAAACAGGGTAGAAATAAAATATTGTTATGATAATTATCACTGTCTGTTCTCCTGTTATTTATTAATTATCATATTTAATCCAGACCCTTCCTCCATGGAGCTCAAGACGGTGTGCATCATTCTCTCTACCCACATTCTTGTTCACAACAACCCTCTGGGTAGGTTAGGCAAAGAGATGGTGGCAGGCCCTCGTGCTCCCAATGCAATTACACTGCCTCCTCAAAGGTCCCAGCTTTTCCAGCCCATCTGCCTTTTGCAATGGCTAGGCAGGGAATAAGGCATAGTACAACATTTACCTCTCCCTGTCTTTTCAAGCAGCATTATTAACAATCCTGGATTTGTACCCATCTCTTTCACTTGCTCACAAAGCCTATCATGTGAGGAATCTGGAGGGTTGTGCTGCTCAAACTTCTGTTCATTTGTCCCTGAAGCTGAAACGACCTCCCATGTTTGACTGGCAGGGGCTATTTAAGCAGTGTGTCAATTGGATGTTGGTATGATGGATTGGAGGAGCCCTACCCACCCCCCTCCACCATCCTATGCTGAGCAGTTGCCACAGTGATGCCTTTGTGGAGAGGAAGGAACAGGGCCCTTCTCCGGGCCCTTCTCAAGATTCAGAGGGTAGGTACTGGGGAGGGGGTGTTCCTCACTCATTACAGTCTGCTCAGATTGAGTCATATGATTCTGGGGAGGAGGTGGAGGAACAAGCAGGGTGGAGGAGTTGGCAGTTTCAAGGTTACCCAGTGAAGTTTCTCAGAGAGAGTGTGAGAATCTGCTCACCTTGGAAAGCACAGAAGGTCTTTCAGGGCGGGGTGAGCAGATGCAGGGAGCGTCCCTTGACCTGGTGGAGCAACAAGAGAGGAAGGGAGCACCCAGTCTCCAGTGTTTCTATCATCTAGTCCTCAGGCAGCAAGAATTACCTTGTAGGGACAGTCAGCACCTTTACTGAAAGGGTGGGACAGAGGTGAAGTTTCAGTTTGGATTCAAGCCTTTTCATGGGCAGAGGTTTATCCCACCAATCTAACAGGAGGCTATTTTGAGCCCGTATTGTTCTGTAACTGGTTAGGTTTCAATAAAAGCACTATGCTTCTAAGGTTTCCCTTCTAAGGAGAGAGGAAGAAGGAGATGACCTGCACGCAACAGGTAGTCAATGGACAAAGTTTTGCAGAATCTCAGCTCATGCAACCATTGGTTCACAGGAACATCTGGTTAGAAGTGGTAGAATTATAGGGCTGGAAGGAACCCTGAAGATCATTAAGTCGTTGTGAGCCACCCCGAGGCTTTGTTGCGATGGGGGCGGCATAAAAATGTTTTAAATAGATAAATAAATAAGTCCAACCTCCTGCTCAGTGCAGTCTCTGAAACGCTGGATGCAGGTGCAGCATCCCTGATTTGTCCATACAGACTAGTATCTCAGGAGAAGATCTTTTCCATCCCTTGAGCCCTGTTTCTTTTAAATGGAGATGCCACTGACTGAATATGAGACCTTTTGTTTGCAATGCACTTGCTCAGCCAGAGCTGTGGCCCCTCCCCACTAAGCTCAATTGTAACTGCAGATGTTCAGAATCCTCATAATTCACAGAATCATGGAATAGTAGAGTTGGAAGGGGCCACAAAGGCCATTGGATCCAACTGTTGCAGGACACCAAGTTACACCATCCCACTCAGATGGTTGTCCAGTTTCTTTTTGAATTCTGCCTTCCCTAATCTGCTGTGTCTGGTTGTGTTGGAATGAAACTCCAACATTCACCATGTGGCTTTGCAGGCTGCACGTGACACAGCTAAAAGACAGCTGGCTGGGGAAGGCTGTGGTGATCCATTTTAAGAGGGAATAGTTAAAAGCACGTGTGGGGGTGGGAAGAGATTTGTGCCACTGGCCCTTCTTCAGCTAATCAGAAGCAAGTGAAACCTTTTCTTTTTGCAGCCATCACAGCCTGTGCACTCATCCCTGGCAGTGGTCAGATCCCTCTGGGCATATAGATTCCAGCCGGCCAGTTTGAGTCCAGTACTCAAAAGCAGGGAAGCTGGATCTTCCTACACTGGAGAACACGCATCTCCCCCTAAGCGTGAGTACAGCGTCCGGGAGGAGATGCAAAACAGGGAGTGGAAGGCACTTGTGCTCCTTTTCTTCCCTGCATCTCCAAATGTCCAAAGCCAATTTGAGGATTTCCGAGTTAGCCTAACAGTCACTCTAGAAATGCTGCAGCATCAGACAGGGCTGCGAGCAAGGCCAAAGGAATGGGGGCACAAGGTGAAGAAACAAGGACAGGAATGCTGAGTGCAAGTCCAGGGAACCAGAGTCTGTGATG